CCATCCCGAGGCCTGGGGAAGAGGCTGGTGCTGTATAGGCCACCTGGGAAGAGAAGAAGGTACGTTTCTGTTTGTCGAATGTGGGTGTTTTGCAACAGGATCCTTAGGTGTTAATTTTCCGAACTTTCTCCCAAATTCTTTTCCTTCCTCTAAAATCAGCATTTTTACACGTTTTCTATTGGAATGCATTTAGGGGATGTTTCTAAAAAGCTTCCCTTAAGACACTCTATCCCATCCTTGTCAAACTGTCACTTCCAGCCTCTTCACCTCACACTCAGAACGTAGCTGTTGCAGGCAAAACTGATCTAGAATTGACGACTCTGACCCCTTCTGGATCCCTCCTGGGGACAGAGCAGGAGTCGGCCCTTGGAGAACCCCCAGCAGCATCCCACACACGTGAGGGGCCGGACCACACGCTGCTGCTCGGCCCACGGTCTCCTGTCTTCCCCACTGAAGTCCATCTGCTCCCCAGCCTTGGCCACGGTTTAGCTTGTGCAGGTGCCTTAAGCTGCGCTTTACCCTGCATGCACCATTGTATCTTCTCCAGAGGGAAGCCGCCCTGAGTGGTTAAATTTTCTCACATGGGTGCCAGCTTTCCCAGCGTGCATTTCAGCGTGTCGCACGCAGGGATTTGGGCGATGTATCCCGAGTCCATGTCACTTGTCCACTGGCTGATGGGATCTGACTGAGTTTGGTTTGGCCGGCTCCTTCTGGAACTACAATATAAACATACTTAACCATTTTTCTGTATTTTCTTTTCTTTCTCTACTTAACATTATAAATTTCTTGAGGAAAGGGACCAAATCTGCATGAGCTGTGAACACAAGGAATTTTAAGGGCTAACCTCTGAGTGCCCTCTGTGCTCCAGGCCGTGTTAACCCTTTTTCACAGCTTCCTTCCTTAATCCCCATGTGAACACTTTGATTGGATAGGCTCTGCCCAATAGGCAGTGCTAGCTCTTCTTCTTATAAATGAGGAAATGTAGTCTTAACCGCTGAATCCACACAGGCAGTGCGTGGCTGGGCCGGGATTCCAAAGCCCGTGGCCTTAACCACCAGTTTGCACGGCCTGCCTGAGGAGTTACCGTTACTTTTTTTTTTCTTTACATTCTGTAGGGTATTTATTAAGCATCATAGCATTCTCTATAATGGCTCAAATATTTATATATATTCGGTGGAGTTGAATACAACAGTTAAGCTTTTGGGGGCAGGCAATGGGAATTATAATGGAATTATACTGAAATCCTTTTTTTTTTCTTTTTAGAGGAAAGAACCACACATCTTTCAGGATGGAAGAGAAAAGTGATTTTGTGTTAGAAAACCTCAAAGCTGAAAATCTACTGCCAAGTTATTCTGAAGTATTCCCTCTTTCCTCTCTGATTTTTGTGTATTTTTTTAAATTCTCAAGAATATGTGACAACTTGCTTTGCTTATCTGCCCTTCAAAGCAAATTTCTATGAAATTGGTTCTGTTGAGATGACTCTCTGGGTTCTTGGAAATTATTTGGATAAAGTTGACCAGTTAAAAATTTTAATGATATTCTTTATAGGCCGATTTTTCTCATGTTTTCTTTGTTACATTTAGACGTGACCAGAGAATCCTCCCTTACATTTCCTATTTCCTTAGAAAAATCATTTGCTATGAAACCTAAGTTTCAGCCCTGGGTACAGTGATCCTGGAAGGAAAATACAGCTGCTTAGTCTTTTAAATTCAGACTCATGGGACTTGGTATCTTCCATAATAGGAGGTAGCAAATTGAACCATCATACAACTTAACCCATAAAAGTAATTCCTAATATTTTTAGATGAAAACATAAACAGTCCTGTGATGGTCCCAAAACACACTTGTAGCCACTCAGCACCCATGACACAGCACCCATGACACCTCATGATTTTTATTGGAGCTGTTTATAATAGAATATCACAGTGACTTGCTTTTTTGTTTTTGGTTTTTTGACTGTTTTAACTTCTATGCCCTTTAATTTTGTCTATATTTTTGATACACATAACATTTAAATTTTTTAATTCTTGTTTTCGTTTTTTCAGTTGTAGAGACAGTTTCTCATCTGGGCCACCATAAGGTCCAGAGGGCTTATTGGCTTGTACTGGAATGGGCCAAGGTAGACACTGGGAACGTAGGGAGCTCTGGCATGGCAATTCACTGGTTCTCGCATCTCTCTCTGGTGGAATTTCAATGATCTCCAAGTATAAATTCCCCCCTTATAACTTGGCCTTGGACAGTGACTTTTTTAGATAAAATATTTCAAGTACTCAGAACACAGTGACAAAACCCGTGTACCAACATCCTGAGTAAATGGTTAATACATTGCTGTGTGTAATGGATTTTTTAAGTAGAAGGTTAGAGATGAGATCGAGTTGCACACCTTTCCTTTCCACCCTCCGTCCCTAGGTGACCATTCTCCCTGTATTGATGTACCTTTCCGCCCACACCTTGTTTCACTAGGACATTACCTGTGTGTTTTACTAAGCTCTGGCTGCCGTAACAAAATACCAAAGACTGGGCACTTAAACAGCAGGAGTTCGTTTCTGGAGGCTGGGAGACTGAGATCAGGGAGCCAGCACGGTCGGGCTCTGGGAGGACCCACTTCCCGGCCCACAGACAGCCACCTTCTTGCTGTGTCATGTGGACAGAGGAGGAGCTCTGGTGTCTCTTAGGAGGGCACTGATCCCATCATGGGGGCCCCACCTTCGTGACCTCATCCAAACCCGATTACCTCCCAAAGTCCCTGTCTCAGCTACCATCACACTGGGGGTTAGGGCTTCCACTTGTGAATCTGGGGGACCATGTTCAGCCCACAGCCCTGTGAACCGGGAGGGCCTGCACTGCCTGGAGTCGAGAGCCTGGCCGAGAGCCTTACACCTTGCAGGAGGTTCATTTTCCCTCAGTACAGGCTGGCAGGGGACTGCTGGCTCAGACCGGATGGGTATGGCCCTGCAATTCTACACCTTTCCCGCGTGCCTGCGGCTTCCTAAGAGCACAACCCCCGTTTCTCCTTCATCAAGAAAACTATCATCCTTGCCCAAAACTGCTTGTGCCTGGCCTCCCTCCCCCGCCCTCCATACCTAGCAGTCGTGCGAAGTCTCACTGGCCAGGCCTAGCTGCCAGAGGCTGGAAAACTGAGTTTGTGATGCTCTATCGTCTAGGGGAGGAAGGTGTGGCAGAAGGGCCTAGAGGAAGTTGGGTAGATCCTCTCAGCCAATTTATAGGATCTGCCAATAAAGGACCCAGTTAACTATACAGAATGGTATGTGTTTTTAACTTTCACATAAATAACTCGGGACTGTATGCACTGTGCAACTTTGTCTCACCAAGAGGTGTTTGCATTTGACAGGAGCTGACTGATGAACATGGGTCTCATTGTAGAGTTCCTTAGGTAGCTGGTGTGTCCCACTGTCCCACTGGGTGTTTGCTGCTAAGAATACTCTTCAGCCACCATCCTTGTGCACATGTGCAGATCGACCTGCAGCCCCACCCAGAGGTGACTCGGTCATGTCTTCAACTTCCATAATTATTGCCAAAGTCCTCTCCCAAATGCCTAATCCCATTTGCACTCCATCCAGCAATAATAAAAGATCCCATTTCCCCACACCGCTGCCACTAGCCAGCGCCACTGCTGTGGGTGTGAAATGCACAGCATTGCAGTTCGCAGGCCTTCCTGGGGGGACTGGCTTTTCAAGCACTCTCTAATGACACTGCTTTTTAATTTGCTGTATTACTGATGTGGGCATATTCTGTATGCCAATTCAATTATATGAATCAATCTAGTTCTAAATAAATTGCAAGTAACTTCTTCCATCTGCGACTTGTTTAACTTTACGATATTTTATCGTACGGAAGATATATTTTAACATAGAAAAGTTGATGCTTTATTTTTGCTGGCTTCTATTACTTTTAAAGGAAAACCTAGGGTAGGTTTAAGACAATACTATGTTGTCTTAAATTTTTGCTTTCTGAGTTTGGGTCTATAAATCATCTGGAAATGTTTCGCAGGGGCATTAAGGGAATTGATCAGAGACCTGATTTTACAATTGTATGGCTTCCCCCAGGACCTGTACCGAAGGGCACATCCCTTTCAACTGTGTCAGTGGGACTCAAGTCTTCCGGCAGCAACGATCTTCATCACTTGGCAGGAAATAACTTCACTGTCTATTCCACGGGAGCCGCCAAACAGTGTGAGAGCACGCTTCCCAGAAGCCTCTGGTGCAGGTTGATTTCCGGGACTGCTCAGCAGCACCTCCGCCCATGGTGCCCAGGGTGGTGCCTGCTTGTTTCTTGGGCTTGGAGATAATTCCTCCTTCTTGACCCTCTGCTGGGCTCTGCTCCAGGCCTTGCTGGGTCCCTCCCCATCCTGGTCCAGCAGGCCCTGATGTGGAAAGGGTGAGGGTAGAGGGTGTGGTGTCACTTCCTCTCTGAAACCGCCCCCCCCACCGGATTACCTCCTGGCTGTGAACACTCCCTGTGTGCTGCACGGGCACCAGCACTGCCCCCACTGGCGGCCACCCTCCCTCACCATGATGCATATCATGGTCACTGGTAGATGCCTCCTGTCCCTTTAAGAGTGGGGTCCCTGGAAGCAGAGTCCAGACAGCAGCTGGGCTGCTCTGGTTACCCCAGCACAGTGCCTGGCAGTGAACACACCATCCGCATGGGTGGAACTGTGGAACTGAAATGCGATGAAGGCACAAAGGGGGCTCCAGATCCTCTGGGCCGAGAGGAGCTGCCGGACGTACACACACTCGGGGGAAGCGGGAGTGAAGTTGCCCTTTGTTCCACTGTCTTGGCTCTGGGGCGACATCACCTTACAGTCAGGAATCTGCTCTCCAAATGGCAAGGGAGGTTTATTTCAATGGGAGGAAAGAAAGGGACACTGATTATTTAAGAACAATGCTTTTCTTACAAACTAAATTAAAAGTGGTTTGCATCGCCGTGGTGGGGTTGGCACGCTGGGGAGAGGCAGGTACATTCCGTATTCAGACCACCTAGGAAATTCCTTAGGGTGAAGCCAAAAGCCAGTGATGACTACAGGTATCCAAGATTTTGAGAGTCTCCAGGGATGCCCTCCGGACCCCAGGATCCGAGTCCAGCTGTAGCTCCTGGAGAGCTGAGAGCGAGCTTAATCAGGAGAGGATGGGGACCCTCGAGGCCAGGCCCGCGCCCTCTGCCTGCCCTGGGCAGTGTGTGCTGATGAAAGCCCTGCCCGGGGAGCCGACTGCGGGTCGAGGGGCTCACAGGGGCTCTGGACTTCACCCCCCTGTGTGTGAATTCAGAAGGTGGCAGGTGCAGCCACGTCTCCACACACATCTCCCATCTCTGGGGGCTTCCGTTACGTCAACAGGGACAGAAAGACCACCCACAGGACCCAACTGCTGTGTGGATCGGCCATAGGAATCAGGGCGAGTTATTTCATCAAAGTGTGTGGCAGGGAGGGGGCAGAGAGCACAGGGAGCCCTCAGAGCTGTCTTGCTGGAAAGCCCACCGCACGTCCCGTTCATCCACCTCTCTGTGCCCTGGCTACACCCCTACCCCCAAAGACAACCAGGGTCAGCTGCCTCTCCCCTCAGGCGGTTTCCCTAAGCTCCCAGATGAGCTTAGTGGACTCATTTTTGACTCATACTTGAGTCTCCATGACTCACAATTCCGTAATGTAGGAACGTCCAGCTTTTTCAGGTAACGTGCAGACATCTGCTTCATAATGATTCCTGAAATGAGAGCCAGGAAATGTTCATCACACGAATATTAGGTCAGTGAGAGATTTGGTTTCACCTTATGAGGGTCCCTGTTGAGGGTTTAGTTGAGGATGCTTAGTTGAGAATAGGGCATGTAGGAAGCTCCTTGGGACACACAGACAGGGACTTCCACCTGAACCCAGGTCCCAACACCTGTCCCCCTGCTCCAGTTCTGGGTCTGACCTGATGGCCTTCAAGCTCCCTCCTGCATCAGGAAACACTTGCCTGCTCACCTGCCAGGTTACATGCAGCAATTCTGATCCTTGACAAGTTATTTTTAACATAGGTCATTGTTTCTAGCAAGAAGCTGTAGAGAACGGCAGGCTTTCTCTGAGTCTGCAAAAAACAAGTGGCACCCAGAGCCATGGAGGATGAGATCCTGGAGACCAGCTGCTCACAAAGAGCAGTCCCATCTGTCTGAGGCTGAAGGGTCTGCCCAGAGAGGGCAAGTGCACATATCAAAGTCACACAGCAGATTTGTAGTTGAGCAACTTAAGGACCTTCAGTCTTCAGTTATTCTTCTCTGGCCCAGAGAGATTACATTTGCTCACAACCTGCACTGTCCAATATGGTAGCCGCTGACCACACCTGGTCCTTGAGCACCTGAAATGTGGCTAGTCTGAATTAAGTGTGAAGTGCCTCCTGGATATTGAAGACACTACCCCAAAAAGGTAAACTATGACATTTATAATTTTATATTGATTGCATGTTGAAATGGTGATGATTTGGATCTACTGGGTTAAATAAAATCTACTACTAAATTTGGTTTCACCTCTTTTCACAGTTTTCAACAGAAATCTTCAAAATGGGTATGTGTGTGGTTTGCATTCTCTTTCTGCTGGACAGAGCTGGTCTCAACACCTCACATCCAGAAGGTGAGCGCAAGGCCACAGGATGAAGCCCCAAGCCCCCGGGGGCCACCTCCCATGGAGCCATCCCCCTCAGCTTCTTCACCAAGACAGAGCACAGGGTTATCTGGAAACTGGTCATGTCCTCGGGGGCAATGGCATCACTTTGGTCCGAGGAGCTCTCCCGGGCCTTCCAGCCCCAGAAGTGCACACACTGAAACATGGTAGCCACACAGGCCTAGAGGGACACAGGACAGGACAGCAGGGGAGGTGTCAGGCAGACCCAGGGGGTTCACACAAGGGGTGGGGCTGCCAGGACTGGCGTTCTGTCAGTAAACTCGAGGGCGGCCCCCAAAAGCCTCAGAGAGCCAAAGAAGGGCAGGCTGGTGGGCCCTGGGAGGATGCCTGGGACCCAAGCCCACCAGCCCACGTCACGCCTGTGTGCATAGTTACTAAAACCCCTTGGGAGCAGATGAAGCCACACTCGCCCCCTCAGCCATTAGCCAGCACCTTGGTGCCGTCAGCAGCCCCGCCGGGGACCTGCCCCTCCAGGAGACTGGGGGTCAGGGGCCTGGCTGCGATTGCCACGATGGGAGTGAGCTCTCTCATCCCCCCAGATCCCCTCCACCGGTTCTGCCTGTCCCTGTGCCCTGCAGCAACCAGGCCCCCCAGTCTCCGGCTTCCGGTGGGGTTAGGCCACAGGAAGATGCTGATTGGAGGGCCGGGAGGGAGACTGGGGTGTCTATTCCCCCGGGAGTAGGACGGGCAGCACCCGCTGGGGTCCCAAGCCGTGTTGGTCTCTCCTCTCTGTGGCCCCCTCATTAAACCCTCTCGGTCACCTTTCTGGGTGTGCTGTCACTTCCTCCCTCAATCCCCACCCCTACGTGGAAGTCTCAGCTCTCAGCAGCAAGATTGAGGGGACTAAGCTTGTGGCCCCAGAACCGGGGTTAAGACAGTAGTTGAACACACTCTGTTGAGGACGCCTCGTTTGGGGCCAGCCGTATCCCCACGGCTCCTGAGGGGCAGCAGGACCACCCCTCATCTCAGCCACCATCCCCTCCCCAGTCCACAGATGGAGACAGGGAGCAGGGAAGACAGAGGTCAGGGTCATGGACGGCACAGGGGGCGAGGGGCTCCGTACACGTGTGTCCCCAGGCAGCCAGTGTTAGCCTGAGAGGCGGGAGCTAAGCAAGGGGGTGTGGGCCTCCCCCAACCCCAAAGCAACAGAGCAGCCGGGCCTCGGAGAAAGGGGAGAAAAGGGGTGGGAAAGCTAGGCACCCTCCAGTCCTCCCGGCAACCTCAGCACGAGCGTGCCCCACAGGGAGCCAGAGAGGACAGATTTAAGGGGAGTGTTAAACCTGACCAAGTCATAATTCCCAAAAGGGAAAGCAACTTATAGAATCTGGTAAAAGAAAGGGCGGCTGGTGAAGGCCCCTGGAGAAGAAGGAAACTCCACCATGCTTCCCCCCGCCCCAGAGCCCAGATTCCTCAATAAGCCGGTTTGTGGGTCATCTCGACTGGTGCCTTTCCCAGCCTGGTGCGAGGAACCAGCAGATCATGGCCTTTGGGGTCTCGGGAAGACTGAGCGAGGAAGGGGACACCCCAGCTAGCCGGGCTGGCAGCCCCAAAGCGTGTGTTCCTTTTGGGGACAGCGGGCCCTGGACTTTATACACAAAGCCCAGGTGTCTCTCACCTGGGCTGCATTGGAGCAGGGATCCTGGCAGTGCAGCATGAGGGGGACCCAGGCTTTCTTCACTTCCTCTTTGAAGAAATGCTTCTTGGAAATCCTGACCACCTTTACCAGCTTCCCGAAGAGGACGAAGGCTTTTAAACGCAGTAGCTCGCTCTCCTACAGCGGAGGTGGACAAACAATTTCTGAAACTTGGGAAGCAGGAAGCCCAACAAAACCACAGCCATTAAGAGGTGGACCCTCTTAAATGCCTCAGGCCCTGCGAAGCCTTCTGGGTCATTCCATCAGGATGGAGTCTCTCTTGCAGGGCTCTCGGGACTGGGCGTTATTCTGGTGTTTGTGATCTTCTCTTCCCTAGATGAGGGCTGCGCTGGATCTGATTGCCCACCGCCGCCTAGCGGAGTCCCCATCTCGCATGCCACAGCTGTCCAAAGAGCATTTGTGGCTGCGAGGAATTAAAATCGGGGAGAAGGGTCCCATGGGCTCTAAAACAAGATCTTTTATTTTTTATCGGATGCCATGATCAGCCAATCGAAACATCAGCAACAAGTTAGACCTTGTACCCCTTTTTGTTCCAGGGTGCGTCTCTTCTTTAGGGGATTAGAAGTGGCCACTCGTCCACTCAGCAGCCATTTCTGAGGGGCCCCCATGAGGGTCAGGGCTGAGCAAGGCTCCAGTGCGGACTCACGTGGTCAAAGAAGGCTCTGCACCGCTCGGAGATGGCATGGAAGTCGGACCCCACGTCCCCTTCCCGCAGCTCAGCCAGGACCTTGGCCAGGGTCTCCATGCCCTCGGAGGTCACGCTGGTGCTCACAGGCCCCCTCAGGGAGCACAGGCACTTCTCCAGTAAAAGCTTCTGGTACTGCCTCACCTGGGGGGCACGGGAGCCATCAGCCCGAGCCTGGTTCCCCGGGACACACCGGCATTGGCCCCTCAGACCTTCTTGGGGGCACGGAGGGCCATGTTGCCGAGGGCGTGCAGGGAAAGCACCCGCAGGGCCTCGTCCTGGTCCACGCCCTTCTCCAGCATCAGCAGTGCCGGCTTCAGCATCTTCTCCTGGTACAGGATCGGGACACTCATGAACTGGAAAGGAGAACTTCTTACAATCACCCCTCAGAGAGGCCCATTTCTCAGCCACAAAACAGGACGTGTGATGACACTCAGTGCGCGGAATTGTCTCTCTGTGAACAGGAGAGGATTCTGAGCCCCAACTCCCAGGACCAGCTCTGGGCTCCTCCGCCTGCCCCCTGTGGGGCCCTGGCAAGTGCCTCAACCCCTCTGAGCCTCAGTTTCCCCATCTGTAAAAAGAGGGCAACACCAGTACCTGCTTCATAGGGTCGCTGTGAGGATCCGATGAGGAAATACGTAGGAAATCCTAGGTGAGTGTGACCTATATTAATACACTCATCCGTCATTTATTTCTTCAGTTAACATGATGGGAATGGCCACTGAGCACAAGAGCCATGCCCACTGTGTTTGAGCAGAAAAGCACAAGAAGCATGGATTCCACTCACCTGGGACTCAGAGAGTCACTACTGTCCTAGCACCCAAAATGCCAGGGACTCAGGCCTACAGGGAGCCCTCTGGCATGCGTGTGTGCATGCGTGTCAGTGTGTGCACGCACACATATGAGTGTGTTTTATTAAAACGTAAGAAAGCTTAACACCAAATTGGTGGCCCCAAAATTGAAAATTGATTCTCTGGCCCTTTACAGAGCATGTCTGCCATCCCCTGCAGCAGGCCAAAGGTTGGTTCTTACGACATACTGGGCATCAGGCAGCCAAGAAAATTTCTCCTAAAAGGTTTCTGGCCAGTTCCCTCAGGACCCCATAAGTGCCCCAGCTGCATGGAAGGGTAGCTGGGCCCCAGTGGCTCTGACTCCCTTCCCGGCCTTCCTGCCTGGCAAAGCCTGGTTCACAGCTCAGAGCCCTCCTGCAAGGCCTTCCCCAGGGAAGACCTCCTCTGGACCCCGGGTGTTGCTGGCACTCACCACGTCACACATCCCTTGGTTGCCATGCTTGAGGGCACAGGCCGGGTCTCAGCCCTTCTTTCCCCACAGTGCCCGCCCCGAATTATCCACGTGATGAACGAATGAAGGAGTGAATGACTGAACGAACACACAAATGATGGATGTTCGCCTGCCCAACTGCCCCTCCCCCCCGACCCCTGACTCAGAGCCTGTGCGCCTGCCCTGAGATGAGCCCCCAGGACAGCCCCACCCTAACCCGGCCCGCCCCGCCCCCCAGCCCTCCGCGCCGGCTCGGCACCGTGGCCTCACTTCCACGCAGACCGTCATGCTGCTGATGCGATAGCTCAGGGCCTCCGAGGCCACGCCCCTGAGCACCAGCTCCGACAGCCCCTGCCGGTAGCCCTCGGCGTTCTGCACGCACAGCCTGCAGGGACAGCACCGCAGTGGGGACTTCTCAGCTCCTGCCGGGCACAGCTGCTCTGCAGCAGGGTGCCCAGGGGGCAGAGCTCCTAGGCCAGGGGGTCACTGAAGTACTGACTCTCCATCTGCTTTTCATAAAATGGCACCAGAATGAGGGCCACTCAGGAGAGCTCAGGACCCGGGAAGGAGCTCCCAGTCCTGCCATCCTGGCCCAGCTCAGAAGCCCCGTGTGGCCTCGGGCATCCCCACCCACCTCGGACCTCACTTCTTGCCTTGGAGCAGGAAGGGCTGGAAGAAAGATTCCCTCTGCCCTGCACCCTCCTGCCACCCAGAGCCTGGGATGCAGGTCAACGTGGCAACCCCCCGGAGCGAGGCATGCAGCCACGACCCAGATCTTCCATCAAGGACATGGAGCCCCGCGGAGCCGGGCGCCCACCTGGCCAGCAGGCTCACTCCCTGCAGGAATGTGGAGCTGCTCTCCAGGAGTGCCCACACGCCCTGCTCTTCCAGGGTGCGAAGCAGCGGCTCGCTGTTGAGTTTCCGGAACAAAAGCTGCATGGATTTGATCGTGATCCTGGAAGAAGGCAGGGCCCCATCAGGACACGGCTACCCCGCCGGGAGCACCCACAGAACCTCAGACAGGTAAGCTCCGCACCCAGGTCTGTGAAGGGGCATCCAATATACGCAGGGCCTCGGTCAAGGGGCCAAGAGCAATCCTGTGAGACGGTGGTCTGCAAACTCCAAAAACCACACCATGCTGGACTCGTGGGAAGGAAGATCGTAAGATCAGCTTCCAGAAAGTTCTCCCCACCAGGAGGGGAAGATGAGGGCCTCTGGGTGGAGGTGACGCTTGGAGTTCAGTGACTTCTAAGAGGCTGCGTCCAGCCCAGGCCCTCTGCCTTACACCCCACGCATGCCCCCACCCTCGAGAGCACCTTTGCAGGTTGATCTCCTCAGGGAGGGTCCCCGTGTGGACGAGTCTCCACATCTTCAGGACGGGCGACATGGCCTCCGGCCCCTGGCTGCTGCCGAGCTGCAGCAGGAGGGTGTAGATGAGGTCCGGGAAGAGGTCCAAAAGCTTGTCATCCTGGTCCATCTTCTCAATAAGAAGGTGGATGGTGCACAGGGTCTGCAGATAGAAGGGTGGGAGGCATGAAGACTCCTACTGAGGCGCCAAGGAGGGCCCGCCCCGTGACTCACCATCAGAGGGTCCACTGCGGCCAGGTGCCAGATGTCAGCCTTGGAGGTGGTGTCGGCCCTGGGCGTGAACCTCGACTGCAGCCGACCCATCAGTGCATGTAGCATCATCCGGGCAAAGGGCAAGTTCTCAGCCACAGTCAGCCACACCTCCGTCAGGTGGCTAGCCAAAGACAGGGGGCAAGGACTGTGGGTTTGGGGCCATGTGCCCTGGCAGGTCAGAGCCCCTGTGGACTCCCAGGCGGCCCCTTGAGTAGGGGCTGGACTCTGAAGACTGGATCTCAAGGAGGTGGAATGAGCCGCCAAAGACTGCACAACCAGAAGCCTGGTCCCGACTCCACGCTCAGAGACACGCCTCCGCCCACGGTACTCCCGGGAAAGCCACAGCCCCTCTCTGGAGCCCCAGCTCTGCTGCTAGGTGACCCCGGGAGTCCCACCGGACCTGTTGTGTGATGACTTTGTGGACATGTCCGGTCATAGCCTCCCAGTGCCCAGGTGTGTCAGGCGGGCACCAGGCAGCTTGCTGGTGTGCATCACTTACTCCTCCCAACACATTTGTGTGGAAGGTGCCTTCATCTCCATTTCCATAGAAGAGGAAATGAGGCCCGCAGAGGTCAGGTAACATGCCAGGCTACAGCTTGAAGCCGGCTTCCCGACCCCCAAGTCCAAGCGCACGGCCCTGCTGAGAAGGGAAGGGCTCCCGGCACAGTGATGCAATGAGCCTCTGTGCACGGGTACAGGCAGGTGGGGTCTGGTGGGCTCTGAAGGGCTAAAACCGTGAGTCCAGCAGGATCAACCTGCCTGTTTGAATCCACAAAACCAAATACACGAGTGCGGAGGTGAGTTTTGTTGAGGGGGGAAGGGGAGATGCAGCTGGGGCCTGGTGGCAGGAATTGAATGGAAGGGTGGGCACAACACGCTCGTTCACAACAACTTCTCAGAAAGAAAACATAGGAGTGTAAGGAAACAAGAAAGTGGGGACCTCAGTCCTGTAACTCAAGAAACAACCACGTGAGCTTGAAGGAGGACCTGGGCTCCAGAAAGGAACGCAGCCCGGCCAGCACCTTGACTCGGGCTTGAGACCCTGAGCAAAGGCCCCAGCTCAGCTGAGCCCAGGCTCCTGACCACACAAACCAGGAGATGATAAATGGCTGTTAACAGTTCCAAGCTCCCAAGTTGGTGGCAGTTTGTTACACAGTGATAGCCAACCAATACAGTGAAAGCCAGCCACCCAGAGGCCCCACTCAGCACTGCTATGAGAGGGGCTAACTCTCCTTCAATCAAGCCACCTGCTGCACTGCCATCCTACCCGGACCCGGGGCAGGGCTGACCTTATGAGAGGCAAGTCCACGGCAGAGCCAGGCCTGCATTTCACACAGGGCAGCCTGGGAGGTTCTAGATCTGACACCTGTGCTCAAAACTTTTTTCTCTGCTGTGCCATCTGCCACGTCTCTCTCCACCAAGTCCCAAGGCTGCCCTTTGCTCCCCGGTCTCTGCTGCTCTGGGGACGCCTGCCCACCCCTTATGGGCCCTCCCCAGGGAGTTCCGGTTCCGCCCCAGCACACTCACTCCCCAGACTGGTGAGATCCTACCAGCTGCCTGTGCGGTGCTGGGACAGAGACACAGGGACTGGGCACTGTTCATCAAACTGCCGCAAGAAGGAGGGTTTGCACTGCTTTACTGTGAGGCCACCTGAGGGGCCTGAGGCTCTGTCATTTCATCCCTTGGGCACCTGGACTAGTCACTCCCCTCTCAGGGCCCCATTTGGAAAGGAGGAAAGACAGAGCGGAGCTTCTCCAGTGGCCTGCTCGGGCCTTGGGGCCCATGTCCTGTGGTCTATCCGGCCCGGAGCTCTGTCCTCTTCAGGGAGGAAAGGGCTGCAGAGGGGAAAGCCCAGAGTCGGTGACCAGGACATGTAAGACGCTGCGGGATCCTAACTCCAGCTTGATGGGATGGAGCTGTAATGCTGAGGCTCTGGGTCTGAGGTTCCAAGAGGCTGCACCTCCCACGGAGACGCAAGGAGAGAGTTTGACCCACCCCAGGGTCGGACGGGCCCCGGTCTTCTGGGACACGCCGGCGGTGGCGAGTTGGGCACAGTCTGGGTGACCCCACACCCAGGGCACCCACCTCTCCATGGACAGGGGCTGCCGCAGGAGGGACATGAGGCCAGTCTCCTGGTGGTAGTGCGCCAGCAGAAGGATGCCCTCGATGAGGAGGTGCTGCACCTCCGGGTGATCCACTACTGGCAGGACCAGGATGGCGCCCAGGATCTCCGCCACCTGGGAAGGGGTGGGGCATCACCGGGCAGCCCGGCCCTCATGGACCTCCTGCCCTCACCCCACCCACCGTACATCCCTTCTCTTGCCCAAGCGGATGCTGGGTAGGTTAAACCTTCAGCACCCATTCCAATGCATCCTCTCTGGTCCCTTCCAGGATTTTATCCGATTTTCAGGAGGGGCTGTGCTCCAGGAGAGCAAGCCTCAGGCCTCCAGCCCATCGTCCACTTACTGACCGAGTCACCTTCAACATATTCTTTCTTGTTCTAGAACCCTACTTCCTCCTCCTCTTTACAACCATGGACTTGGGGGTGGGGCTGGAGAATCCTGAGCACACGAGGCTGGGCCCCTGCCCGGCCCTCTAGGTTGGGTGCACCAGGCAGCTGCAGGCCCCAGATGACCTGGCCACAGCCCTGTCACTGTGTCCTCCAGCTCCTTGGCCCGCATCTGGAGGAAGGTGCCTATCCAGGTGACGGAGGCCTTGTCATGCTGGAGGTTCATGGCCCCGATGTTCTCACAGAGCTTCTGGACGAGCGAGGCCACCTCATCGCAGCTAAACTGCAAGCACGCCACCTACAACCAGAGCAGGCTGTTCCCGGGGTCCGACAACCAAGCCCAAGGACTCCCCTGCCTGCCAGTCTCCGCTCTTCCGTTCCATGTCACAGCCCCAGCCCAGCTGCATCTTCTCTGAAAGCGCTGCCCCAGCCTCCTCCCCGCCGCCCAGCCCCCCAGCCTCTCGCGTCTCAGTCACAGGCCTGCTTGGATGTCACTCAGCGTCAAGGCCACAGGGACGCACGCCAACACCTCCCTTTCCTCGTCCCCTGCCCCCACCCCATCTGAACTCCACGCAGGAAGCTTCTCCCCAGATCCTCGCTGTCCTGACTCTACAGCCCTGCAGCCTTCCCTCGGGGTGTGCCCTGCGCCTCGCTGCCGATGCACAAGCCTTCCACTGCACAGGGCCCCCTCTGGCCCCTGAGGCAGAAGAGACCTCATCGCTCTGCAACCCTGAGAGTTTGGATGGCTCTGGACACTTTCAGTCACCAGTGTGCCATCAGCCTGCCCGTGTGCTGACACCTGTGGGCAGGGTCTCGTGTTCAATTCTTTCTGGGGCCCCCTCAGTGTAGCACATGCTAGGGACAACGAGAACACAGCTGGGGTCCTTTAAGCACCTACCGTATGCCAGGCACCACAGTAGGGATCTTACACATCACAGGCCATTTAAATACATATGGCGTGAGGTGGACCAAGGGCCGTGGAAGCCATGACCCCCAGAAGAGGATGGGGGCTGAGCAGCCAGGCTGAGCAAGGTCCCACCCCCCAGTGATGGCCCAGGCCCCCAGAGACTATGGCCCACACAACCTTCCCCTCGTCACCTTGGCGATTCTGGAAGACGCGCTGAAAATCTTCTCCACGTCCGAGCCCTGCAGCTCCGCCTTACATTTCACAAGCTCCAACTCCCTGGAAGCGCCCCAGGAGGAGCAGTTCTGGCTTGCTGGTGGGAATACAATTTCAGACACGATCGGTCAGGACAAAGGGTCCCCATCGTGGTGGCCTCCTGCCCCAGCCCTCGGGGCGCCCTGGTTCCACAGGCCTGGACCACCCTCCAGCATCTGGACATCCTAACCCATTGCCTCGCCCCTCTGTGCACAGGTCAGGTGGATGCTCTGCCAACTTCCAGCTGCCACCGCAGAGGTCAGCTCTCCCCGTCTGAAGGTCTCCCAACTGCATCCCCCTCTGAGCTCATCGCTGGCCAGTTCTGCCACATCCTTGGTATCTGTGAGCTGACCCTGTCCCACTGGGGCCCCTCAGTGCCCAGCACATGCCCTCAGTGAGTCGAGGTGACCCAAGGAGCCTCTCCTTCCAGAAGCTTCCATGGCTTCCCAGTGAGCTGTGAACCCCCTCCGCCATCCCTGCTGGTCACACTTGTTTGTCTACACAGAGAGACCACACTCCCCTCCAGGACAGCCCCATAGCCGACACCCCTGGTGTCGGCGCCCTCTCCATACCATGAAAATCCAGGAGGTTGGAAAGGACTTCCATGGAGGCCAGGCGGGTTCTTCTGTGCGAGTCACAGGTGCATGGGGCGATGAGTCCGACCAGAGTGCCAAACTGCCCCAGCTGCAGAGGGATCTGAGGGACGGGAGACCTCAAGGCTCACACGCTCTGTCCAGCCGAGCACACAGAGGGCAGTGCGACCAGTGGCCAGAGAGGGTGAACCCTGCTCTGAAAGCACCCCTGTCTGGGAAGCCCGAGCTTCCATCCCCAGGTCCCACAGCTGGGCCCCGGGAGGCCGAGCAGCCAAGATCTGAGGAGTCTGCCCAGGACGCACCCTGTCAGGCCGGGGCCAGGTGCTATGTCTGGGCACCCCTCTCATTCCTATAAATGAGGCCTGGCTTCAAATCTGGACTTCCCCGCTCACTAGCTGTGTGACATGGGTAGGTTCTTAGCCTCGGGTCCTCTTGTTCCTTATCTGGAAATCAGAAGTGATGATGGTGCCCCTTCTTTCAGGGAATGCCCTGAGAATTGCGACAGAGAATCCAGGTGATGCACTCGGCACAGGACCTGGCCTCAAATGTTACTTAGCACTAGTCTTGGCCCCAGCTTCGCTTTACTGGGCCTGGGTTCCACCTCAATGGTGCTCCAGGACTGGAGTCCTGCCCACCTTGCTCTCACTCTTCACCAGCCCCAAGATGCGAGTCCTGTCCCCACACCCCAGCCCCAGGACACCATTGTCCTCCTGCCAACGCCATCCCTGATGACCAGACAGTCAAAGAGTATGAGGCCAACAAATGTAGGAAGAGAGGTCTCATGGAGCTGTGTCACGTGCTCTATCAGCAAAAAACCTTGTTGCTTTTCTAGATTTCATGATGTTAGTGGTATTTGTCAAGCTTTGTGAAATTTGTGATTTTGTAGTGATTTATTTTCTCATTCTAGTAAATACTCACTTTCCTAAGCAGTGTGGCATTCATAGCTGAACCCCTTTTCCTTACAGAGTCCTCACCCCGTGTGAACCTCAGGCCCCACAGAACCCGGAGCCACACCAAACCCGGCCCACCCTCTTCCTCAGCACCCCCGAGCCCCAGGGCCAGCATCTCCCAGGGTCTCCTTCGCCATTGCCAAGTGAGGCAGCCTCTTCCCAAGGGACTCTCTGGGGGGCAGAGCTTGATTTCCAAAGTGTTTCCTCTTCTGGGATACAGACAGGCATTTCCCTGTGGGTGTCAGGGCGGCAGGCTGGGGGGTCAGGGGCTCCTGGACTCACGCAGACACCGACGCTTTGGACGTAGATCTGCATGAGATGGAGGTGGAGGTTGATCGCCTTCTCCCGCTCCCATTCCTTCTCTGACAAGATCCACTTTTCCAGGAGCTGTGGGGAGAGCCCGGAACACAGAAGGGGACGTTAAAATCCTGAGGCCAGCCCTTTCCTGGCCACCACTGCTCTCCTTGTCTTTCCCACTCAGAGTGTGACTTTCAAAGCTCTGAGAGGTTCCAGATACTTCTGATTTCTTCCCAGCCCACCCCCACCTCCCCGCCCCACTAGGGAGATGAGGCTATGAGCAAAGAGACAGAGGCCCCAGCATCCTCACCAAGAAGCTGCTTGGCTGATGTGTTTGGCTTTGTTCCAAATGTTTGTCTGGAGGTAGAAAGGCCAGGAGCACAGCCCACCCTGCACCCCAGGGCCTACATGTTCATGCACCTAATAACACAGCTTAACAAAACACGAAGCAAAAACTGATAGAACCGAAAGGAGAAATAAACAAATCCACAATGATAGAGACTTCAGTACCTCTTTCTCGGTAACTGATGATCAAGAAGACAAAAGCAGGGGCTTCCCTTGTGGTGCCAATGCAGGGGACACCGGTTCGAGTCCTGGTCCGGGAAGATCCCACATGCCGTGGGTCCACTAAGCCCACGCGCCACAACTACTGAGCCTGCGCTCTAGAGCCCGCAAGCCACAACTACTGAGCCCGCGTGCCACAACTACTGAAGCCTGCGCGCCTAGAGCCCGTGCTCCACAACAAGAGAAGCCACCGCAATGAGAAGCCCGCGCGCCGCAACGAAGAGTAGCCCCCGCTCGCCGCAACTAGAGAAAGCCCGCGTGCAGCAATGAAGACCCAACGCAGCCAAAAATAATAAATTAATTAATTAAATAAATTCATTTTTTTTTAAAAAAAGAAGACAAAATCAGAAAGGATATAGGAAACTTGGACACCACCGCCGGCCAACTTGGCCTAACCGATATTTAGCAACACACCACCCAATGCAGCAGAAAACTTTCCAAGTACACACAGAACATTCACCAAGATGGGCCGTACCCGGGCAACAAAATAAGTCTCAGTCGATTCAAAAGAATTTGAATTATACAAAGTATCTCCTCAGACTGCAATGGAGTTAAGTCAGGAATTAAAACCAAAAAGATCTCTGGAAAACTCTCCAATATTTAGAAATTTCTAGATAATCCATGAGTCAAAGGAGAAATGAAAGAGAAATTGACATGCATTTTGAACTAAAATAAAATTAGAACACAACATATCAATATTTGTGGGGTATAGCAGCAAAGAACAAAGTCGGTGGACTTATACTCTCTTGTCTTGATTCCAAGACTTATTATATAATATTGTAGTAATCAAGACAGGATGACATTGGTATAAAGACAGACAAAAACATCAGTAGTGCAGAATAGGTGTCCAGAAATAGACCCATACATATATGGTCAATTGATTTTTGACAAAGATGCAAAGGTAATGCAATGGAGAAAAGACAGTCTTTCCAACAAATGGTGCTGAAACAACTGGTTATCCATACGCAAAAAAATAAATAAAATAAACTTTGATCCATATTTAAAAACAACTCAAAATATATCACAGACGTAATTGTAAAACCTGAAAATACCAAGTTCTAGGAGAAAACTAGGAGAAAATCTTGGGTTAGGCAAAGATTTCTTAGACATGACACCAAAAGCATGATCCATAAAAGAAAAAAATGATAAATTCGACTTCATCAAAATTAGAAACTTCTGCTCTTCAAAAGACATTGTGAAATCAATGAAAAGGCACGTCACAGACCAGGAGAAAATATTTGCAAATCATATAGATGATAAAGGGCTTGTTTCCAGAATACGTACAACCTCTGAAAAATTAATAAAAAGAAAGCAAACAATCTAATTTTTTAAAAAAACCCACCCAGCACACTTCAAACATACCGAGATTATGAAGACAAAGACTGAGAAATTGTTCCAGACTGACGGAGAAAGACTAAAGACACATGACGATGAAATGTGATTCATAATCCAGAGTGGGTCCTGGGTCTGGGAGGAAATAACTGTAAAGGACATAATTGGGACAGTTAGTGAAATATGAATATAGAACGTAGATTAGAATATAGCATGGTATCATTGTTAAATTTCATGATTTTGAACATTGTGTTGTTATATGAGAACACTCTTGTTGTTGATGTCTACAGCTGACTCTCCATGATTCAAAATGGTGTGTGTGTGTGTGTGTAATGAGAAAAAAAAGAGAGAGAGAAAAAAAGAAAATGTCACAAAATATTAAGAATCATGGATCTGGGGACTTCCCCAGTGGTCCAGTGGCTAAGACTCCAAGGTCCCAATGCAGGGGGCCCGGGTCCGATCGCTGGTCAGGGAACTAGATCCCACATGTCGCAACTAAGAGTTCACATGCCGCAACTAAAAAAAAAAAAAAAAAAAAAGGAAGATCCCACACGCGGCAGTGAAGATCCCACATGCCACAACTAAGACCCAACGCAGCCAAATAGATAGATAAATAAACAAATAAATATTTTAAAAATATTTAAGAATCGTGGATCTGGGCGAAAGGTATACAGGAGTTCTTTGTAGTATTCTCACAACTTTTTAGCCAATTTGAAGTTTTATCTAAATAAAATTACCAAATCAATTTTTAACGCATACCCCTGTTTCCCACTGAGAGTCTGGCCCTCAGGCCAGTGTTCTGGGAGGGGTGGCCCTCCCTGGCTCCTGGCCCTCTGCCAGGCAACTCACATGCACCATCTCCTGCAGCCCCTTGGGGTCCAGCTGCCTCTGCACGAGGCCCTCCATCAGCTGCTCCAGGGCATGCAGGGCATTCACATACAGGGTCTGCGGCCAAGAGAGGGGAGAACTGGGCGGCAATGGGGGCTCACACAGCCACACACCAGGACTCTGTGCCGGTCCACACCAGGGAGTGTGAGATGGCCTGATAACCGCCCTTTGATTTCTGCTCAGATTGAGTTCTTTATACGTAGCTTCTCATGTGACATGTAAGACAACCTCAAGAGGAGCCCATTTTGCAAAGGAGGAAACCGAATTCCTAGAGCCCAGTTCTCCTGACCCCTCACCCAGGGCCAGGACCTTGAGACACAGATGGCTCCCTGTCCACAAAAGATTCGTCCTGCTTTTCCACAGCCTTATTGGGAAGCAGCCATGCAGTCAGGGACTACATTTCCCAGGACCCCTTGCATCTAGGTGGAGCCATGTGACTGAGTTCTGGCCAATGGAAGGCAGGCAACACAGCTCATAAATCCTCCAGGCCCTCTCTCTCAAGCCGGCTATCACTACCCACAGGGACCTTTGGAGCCATGCACTAGATACGGTGAGGCCTCTGTCAGCCCAGGTCCCTGAAGAACTGCACGAAGCAGCCCCCTCTCCACTGCTGCTGCCAACTGGACTTCACTTGAGTGACAAATACACTTTCATCTTGTAAAACCGTGAAGATTTCGGAGTTTATCTGTTACAGCAGCTAGCATCACCTTACACTTACTGATAAAGCCTGCTGCACTTTGCCGCCTCTGACCACTCACAGGTTCAGGATGGTAGGCTCTCGGCACTGCTCATGTTAATGTAAACTTCTAAGTCCTGACCCAGCAGATGAGGTGGCCCAGAGGGACCTACCTTAATGGACTCATCGTTGTCCCCTGGGGGCTGGAGAGAAATGACAGAGTGTATACTAATCTCCACCAGCTCACTGTTTTCCTCTGTGGAGTAGAAAGGCTTCAGTTTGCCAGGGAAAGAAGTGACAAGAGGAGTGGTCGGTGGAGAGGTGAGACCCTGCCACCCGCTGCCCAGTCTGGGGTGTGGAGGCACGTCACAGAATGAGGGAGAGGCCAGCTTCTCTGGCTGGGGGTTCAGGCAACCATCTCTCCCCAAGGGCCCCGGCTCCACCCACTGGTGGCCAGGGACTGTCTGTGATTGAGCGGGAGACTCAGGGGTCCAAGGCCACCTCTCTCCTTGTTGCCTGCTGTAAGCCTCCCCCTCTCCTATTCAGAACCATTCCATTGGTCCTCATTGAACCACAACCATAGGCTCTGCCTGCCAGGCTGGTCCCGGCCCAGGAGTTTTCAACTGTAATTCCTGGACCACCAGCTGCAGCCCCTTGAAGCTTTTATTAGAAACGCAAATTCTACGGCTGCACCTCAGAGCTACTGAATCAAAAACTCAGGAGTGGAGCCCAGCCACGTGTGTCTTCATAAACCTTCGGGGGTGGTAGCTAGCTGCTTGATGCACACTAGCTCATTCTCTCTTTCTGTCCCCTTCATAGATAGATCTCAAGCCTACGTGCACGTTAGACTCCTAGGAGGGCTTTTTAAGGGGCCCAGGGGCCATGCCTGGCTCCAAGAATCCTTATTTAAAGGTCTGCAGTGGGGCAGGGTATCGGAATTGTTACAGGTTCCCCATCGGCTCTATTGTGCCTCCTATATTTCACCCTGCTGGGACCTCCAGCTCCTTCCCAAATCCAGTAATCTTTTTAAAGCCCAGGTCAAACGTCAAAAGCCAACTCCCACGCTAAGCCCCTTGACAGCCCATCAGCTGAATCACATCTTGTTAGTAGCCCCCTTTTTGGTCTTAGATTTTTTCCTTTGTGGTTCACCTACAAATACTCAGCTCTGACCTATAATTCCTTGTGTATGCGTTTCTTATCTCCAAGTCCCTAAACGGATGTATGTGAATTTTATTTAAAATCTGCCTAAGGCTTCCCTGGTGGTACAGTGGTTAAGAATCCACCTACCAATGCAGGGGACAGGGGTGCGAGCCCTGGTCTGGGAAGATCCCACATGCCGCGGAGCAACTAAGCCCGTGCACCACAACTACTGAGCCTGCGCTCTAGAGTCCATGAGCCACAACTACTGAGCCCACATGCCACAACTACTGAAGCCTGCGTGCCAAGAGCTCATGCTCTGCAACAAGAGAAGCCCCCGCTCACTGCAACTAGAGAAAGCCCGCACACAGCAACGGAAACCCAACGCAGCCAAAAATAAACAAATAAAATCTGCCTATGTACACCCTTTTAAAGCGACACATAGTTCTGCTATGCGCCGAATATGAATATGAATATGAATCTGCCCCAATAGAAGAATTCCTAGCAACGACCCAGCCACCTCAAGTACTCATTTTACAAACGCCTAACTTCTTCCCACTCCCCCTGCCCCACCAGTGGATGGACAATTCCAGGAAGGCAACCGTCAGGCGTTCTATTACTATGTATTACCTGTATCAATACCGTATCAATAAACAGACTTCTTGACTGAGCCCACCCCGGCCTGAAGGATGCCATCTCCTGGCTGTGCTAGTCTGTGTCACTGTGTGATTTCTAGCTCAAAACATCCCCTGATGGACCAAAGGACAACCCACCCACCTGCCATTCACCTCCCAATCCAAGGAGAAGGGCCCAACTTGAAATACTGCTGAGAATTATTTTAAAAAGAGCAGGTGGAAGCAGACCCCCATCTCCTAGGAAGACCCACTCTGCCCCAGGAGCTGCCACCCAAGACTCCAGCTACAAAGGCAAAAAGGGAGGGCAAAGGAGGTGCAACCTCCCCATAAAAGCACTGAGGGGTTGTCTCAGACTTTACCTCCACCCCAGAGAGGCGCTTGGGGCCTGGTTAGGGGCCCAGCTCACCTCAAGTACGAGAGGGCATCCATGGCCATGATCCGCACTGGAGAAACCAGTCTGTCAGTTGGTTCTGCCTTGATGATCGCCTGCCCAGATAGCAGGGCAGTGAGCCATCAAGCCACCCAGAGTCCCGGGATGGGCAAGAGAGGGGCTTGGGCCAACAGTGACCACGATGGCAGCCGCACTCCCAGGGTTAGAGCCAGGAGGACCTGACATTGTATGACGGGCTCTAACACCCCATATCGCCTCCATTCTTTTTACCATCAGTTGGTCTTTGACATTTTAGGGGAGGCAGCAAAGTCTCGTGGAAGGAGTGGGGCAAAGATGGGCCGATGCTTCTCACTCAGGTCTGGCATTTACTGGCTGTGTGCCCTTGGGCAGGTCACTTCCCCCGCCTGAGCCCTGATGTGTAAAATGAGGACTTGGGGGCCTGGTTCACAGGGCTGGGCCAGGCTGGCGTGAAATTACACGTGCGTGTAGCGCTCAGCCCCGAGCAGGAATGTTTGTTTCCTTCTCAGCGCCTCCTGTTCTACCTGCATCTCTCTTCCGTCCAGGCTGCTTCCAATGCAGCTGGAGCAATTTCCAGGGGCCAAGACATTGCAAGGGAGTGGGGAGGCCTGGGGACGAGGGACAGTGGTCGCCCCACAGTCTCATCGGCCCCTGCCATCGCCTCTTGCCTTTGGACAGTTGACACTTTCTAGATCTTAACAAAGTTCTGTGCAAAAATAGCTTTGTCCTGCTTACAGCAGAGCCCTGTCCCCTGGTCCCGCCTATGGAGAAACCTCAGGACTGAGCCCGTGGGCCTCTGTCTCCCAGCCCTGAACCAGCCACCTCGGTGGCAAATCAGGGCCCAAGAGGGGAAGGGTCTTCAGCTCTGGCTTCCGGAATGTTTCCTGGCCGTGAAACCCTTTATCGGACATACGAATGTCATACCCAGAACTCCTTCAGTTGGATCAAAGCAGAACTGAGACAGGAGGGGCTTCAGAGACCCCTGCCTGCCGCCTTGTGCCTCAGATGCTCTCAGGACCTCTGACCAGGGGGAAGCCGGTCGGCAGAGTGAGACCCCCAAACCGCCCAGGATGGAGGAAGCCCCCGGACCCAGCTTACCATGATAATGCCAGTAAGGGTCGCCTTTGGGGCAAGTTGGAAGTCCTCCAGGTCTTTGATGTTCTTGACAGCGTCGGTGACCTGCACCACACTCTTAATGAAGGCCATTTTGAGGCAGATGTCCTGTGCCCAGACCATGACGAGGGACAGGCTGTGAGGGAGCCCCGAAGACCCCAAGCCCCAGCCTGAGCCCCCGGACCCTGCGGCCACATAGAATGCTCCTTCCCCACGCCAAAGAAGAGGCAGTGCCAGGAGTGCTCTGAGAGATGGCTAGCCCCACTCTGTCTTTCAGCCACCTGGCGGAGACGTGGGCCAGGTGCTGGACAGGGCACAGCCCTCCAGTGCCCCCCAGCAGGTGCTGCCTCCCCGAAGCCCTCCACGCTGTGCCTGAGGACAGCAAGCCAGTCAGGGGACACCTTCACTGACCAGGGGCTCTGCGCCCTGTGCGTCACCACAGAGGCAGAATAAGTTATGGACATCAAATCGTTTTTGCTTTTAAGGCAGGAATGAACCCTGAGGACATTATGTTAAATGAAATTAGCCAGTCACAAAAGGATGAACACTGTGTGATTCCAGTTATACGAGATACCTGGGGCGTCAAATTTATAGAGACAGGAAGCAGAAGGGCGGGGGCGGGGGCTGGGGAGGCGGAATGGGGAGCTGGTGTTAGGGGGACAGAGTTTCAGTTTAGGAAGACGAAGAGCGCTGGAGATGAATGGTGGTGATAGTTGCACAACAGTTTGAACGTGCCTAACACCAGTGAACTGCATGCTTAAAAATGGTTATGATGGCAAATTTCACGTGATGTGTACTTTACCACAGTTTTCAAAACAATAATAATAAAGTCACTTCTCCTTTATTCTCTGTGTTTTCTCCTCCTTGCCTTTCCAAGAAAGTAGCCAGTCCCTTTGCACCTCTGAAGACAAGCCCATTCTTGTCCCTTATGAAAGGGCTTGGGTCAGGTGTCAGGGTGGAGGGCAGAGGTGAGGGACGGAGTGCGAGGGGCTGGGAAGAGTGGAGGGCTTGTCTTCAGGGACCCACAAGCATCCCGCCCAGTGCTCGCGGGAGGGCTGCCCCCCCTCCCACTGCAGCAGAGAATGGCGCAGATCGGGGCAATGGGCTTCCCAAATGCTGGGTGTCCGGTAGGACTCCTGGCTGTCTCCTGGGTAGGGCTGGCAGTGCCCAGATAACGATGCAGAGCGACTCTCCGCCAGCCTGGCTCAAAGAGGGCATCCCCTGGGCACTGTGGGTCCATGGCGTCCCGGGGTTATACCTGGCAGCTGCTGGAGTAGTGGTGAACGATCTTAGCAGTGATGGGGTTGTCCACGTGGTTAGGAGCATCTGCGGGTGGCAGTACGAGGCCACGCAGCTGTACATCACCATGAGGGCACCCTTCACTGTCTCCTGCCTCCAGGGATGGTCCTTCTGTGAGGCCAATGAGAAGGGGAAGAACAAGTGTTGGCGGGGCGGGTAGGGTCTGCTCCTTCAGCTTTTTCCTGGGTGCCTGAAATGCTCACTCATTTATTCATTCATTCAACACATCTTTATTGAGCACCTACTATATGCTTCGTCCTGGCTGTACAGTAATGAGCAAGTCAGACCAGGGCCATGACCTCCCATTAGCAGGGGGTTTGTGTGGAGCCCCTAAACAGAGGCTGTTGTGTCCTCCTTCACACCTTCACCTGACAAGCGTCTACTCTGGGCCAGGGGTTCCTGTGTCGCTGGGGATCCAGTGGGAACAGAGAGCCTCAGCCGTGCTCTCCTGGGAGGAGGTGCTAGAGGCCGCCCAACCTACCGTGGAAGGAGGGGCAGGGTTGCCCATGCTCTCCAGGCCTTGAGTAGAAGAAATCCAGGCCTCAGGTCCCACTCTGTGGAGAAGCCGAAGAAGCCTGGACACTCCCGATTCTCTCCTTCCAAACTACCAGACCCCCAGGACAAGGGTCCGAGGTCAAGGCCAAAACCTCGGAGGCATCGGTGACTCCAGGCGGTTGCCCACTGGGGGCTCAGCCAGCCCAGGGCACTGTGCCCCGTGGCTGGGAGGGGCAGCCTCCAGAGGCTGGCCACTGGCTGCCTGGGTCCAACTCCCCACTTCACTTTGGTGAAGGAGACACAGAGGGCAGCTTCTTACTGAGATCTAGTAAGAGCCTTGGTTGGGGGCTGAGAACACTGCTCCAATAGGCCCCCGGAGACCTGACTATGGAGCAAGGGTGTCTCACCCGCCAAGCGCCGATCTGCCAGGACTGCTCCGACTCCTGGATCCTCTCCTCAAAGTCGTGGAGCACGTTCAGCACCGTCTTCACCTGGCCCCGGGCACACAGGCCAAAGCACAGAATCACACCCTGCAGGGAGACCCGGCCAGGCAGGGTAGGGTGGTGGGCCAGGGGGCCGGGGAGGACCCCCCATACACACACACACACACACAAGTAAACACACATGCATGCACACATGTACACACACCCATGTACACATGCACACACCATGTCCGCCGAGGGTCCAGACGGAAATGAGGTTGGGGTAGAAGGTGGCAGGCACCAAAGAATCTAAAAGAGTGGATATATGTATATGTATAACAGATTCATTTTGCTGTACACAACATTGTAAATCAACTACATCCCGATAAAAATTATAAAAAAGAAAAAAAGAAAGGGAGAATGTTACAATTTAAAGTTTTTATCTCCAAAATGGAAAACTTTTTTTCTGATTATAAAAATAGTATTTGTTGGGCTTCCCTGGTGGCGCAGTGGTTGAGAGTCCGCCTGCCGATGCAGGGGACACGGGTTCGTGCCCCGGTCCGGGAGGATCCCACATGCCGTGGGGCGGCTGGGCCCGTGAGCCATGGCCACTGAGCCTGCGCGTCCGGAGCCTGTGCTCCGCAACAGGAGAGGCCACAGCAGTGAGAGGCCCGCGTACTGCAAAAAAAAAAAAAACAAGTATTTGTTCATTGTAAAATCAAAATAAAAGATAACCACCCTTAACAGTTTAGGTGTATCCTTCTAAACTCATTTATGCATAAACACCTAGACTTCTTTCACATAACTGAGGTCATGCTATATATACTGTCTCATACTGTATTATTATACTTAATATATAAAGGGCAGTGTTTCCATGAAAAAGTGTGGATTGTATAATATTCCATATGTTGCTATACTATCATTAATTCCACAAATTCCTTATAGAAGAACATGTAGGTTGTTCTTAATGTTTGGCTTTTATGCCCAACGTTATAATGAACATCTTTATCCAGTTGCTTTGGGGCAATTATTTCCTTCAGACAATTGACAAAATGTTAGATCTTTGAGCCCAAGTTTTGGGCCCTATCCAACTGAGAACCCAGAAAGGTTTAATCAATCTACACCCCCATCAATGAAGTATAGAAGCCTGGTTTTTTTGTATTCTAGACCAGTGATTAGCAAAGTACAGCCCTAAGGCTAAATCCAGCCCAAAGCCTGTTTTTGTGGATAAAGTTTTATTGGAACACCACCACTCTCTGCAGTCTATACAGACCATGCTTTTGCTCTACAATGCAGGGTTGCATAATTGTCACAGGCCATGTGGCCTGCAAAGCTGAAAATGTTTTTGTTATCTGGGCTCTTACAGAAAAATGGCTAGGCCAGCACTAGTCATTATCTTTATCATCTCTGCCCATCAGATGGGTAAAAAGGGTCTCACTGTTGCTTAAATTTGCATTTCTTTAAGAAAGGGGCTTACTGGCAGCAGAAGGTGGTTCACGTACAGTTGCCCAGTTTGTGCACTGTGCAAGAGCACCCAGCTGAAGGACTGAACTGAAGCCACCCATGCTCTTCTCGAGTCATGCAAGACCACATGCTGCCAGTAGGGGGCACCTTGTTCAAATTCACGCAAAGGTGCTCTCTGAGCTGGTGCTGTTGGGGACAGTATTTCCCTTTATCAAGGCCAGGTTTAGGATTTGGGCTTAGGGATTTAGAATCAGGGGTTCAGACTAAGGTTCGGCACTGGGTCAACAGAGCTTTAGGGCTACGTCTATATGGTGTAACTAGGCTTTATATTCAGCCTTTGACTTAGCTTTGGGGGATTCAGGTAAACAGCCTGAAATTCAGACTCAGGTGGAAGCTGGGATTCGGGATTTAAGGAAAGGGGTGAGGGTGTGGAGGGTGGGCTATGTTCAAGGATAGAAAACGTGAAGCAACCCAGAGCTGTGATTTCTTGGCCCAGCCAGTAGTGTCTATAAAAGAGGAAATGAAGGAGGTGCAGATGTGGCTGAGACCCATCGCCCCTAACCCCTGTACTGCTTCCTGCCCTCGCTCACCATGTGTGCTCACCGCTGCCCTAATCAGGGTCAGGGTCCCCACGTGGATGGCCTCCTTGCTCATCTCCATCTGGCTGAGGAAGAACTTCATCAGCTCCTTGGGGTAGGAGCGGGCTGCAGGGGGAAGGACCGCTTTAGTCGTGCCCCCTGAGCCAGAGCAGCAGGACGAGGCAGCCCCAGGCCCAGTGCTCAGAGGGGCTGGGACTCCCGTGGGCTCACAGTGGAGCTGCGGGAGCCTCACCAAGGGCTATGAAGCAGTGCACGACCTCCGTGTCATGTTCCGGCTGCTGTACTGCTGCTGGGCGGGGGCCTTGAAGCACAACTAGGGCGGGGTCACGCAGGGAGGGTGGGTGAGATCTCAGCCGGACAGGGGACGCAGCTGCAGGAGCACCACGGCCTCGCCCTCAGAGGGATGTAGAGACACGTGAGCGGGACGGGGGCCCCACCACTGTCTCACCCTTCGCCCTGGTGGGCCGCGCCACCTGCCGCAGCCCCCTTCCCATGGACCCACCCTGATCAGGCCACGCCCAGCACAGCCTGCCAGCCTCACCTGGACATGCAGTTCCGTGAAGATGGTGTGCAGCTGCATTTGGGGGACAGGGTGTTAGTGGTCACTGACATTTCCAGGATCTGCCTCAAGACCTGCAAAAGGTGGGAAGTGGTGGCACGTGACCTTCTACCGACTCAGGGTCAAACTCCAGACCTTTGCTACTCTGTGTTTTCCGTCAACCGGATGTATCAGCTTTCTCTGGGAGCTAGTTAGAAATGCCACCTCTCACGCCCTGTCCAGACCTCTGAATCCAACTCTGTTTCAACCAGCCCCCGGTGATTCCCGTGCACAGTAAAGCTTGGGCAGGGCTGCACTAGGGCCACCAAGCGTGACATTCAAGGCCTTCTTCCCCTTTCTCTCCTAGTCACTGGGAGGTGAAGCCCATCTTTAGACCGAATGATCTACACATGGTTCCCCAAACCCGTCCCATTCATTTCTGCTCCCAGCTCTTACAGCGAAGAGCCTCGCCTCGTCTGTAGATGAGTGACCCCTTGCACAATATACATCAGCCCAGGTCACGCCTCCACTCAGAACCTTGCAAAGGCTCCATCTCACAGGAGTTCAAGGCTGGCAGGGGTCGAATGGTGTTCCTCCCAAAATTTGTGTCCACCCAGAACCTCAGAATACAGACCTCACTTGGAAATAGGGTACTTGTAATTAGTTAAGGATCTCGAGATGAGATCATCCTGAATTTAGGGTGGGCCTTAAATCCAATGACTGGTGTCCTTACGAGAAGTGGAGAGGACACAGAGAGACACAGAGAAGATGGCCATATGAAGATGGAGGGGGAGGTTGCCGTGATGCAGTGCCTGGGGCCACCAGAAGCTGGAAGATGCAAGATTCTCCCCTAGAGCCTTCAGAAGGAGCACAGCCTGCCAACACCTTGATTTCGGACTTCTGGCCTCCAGAACAATGAGAGAATAAATTTCTGTTGTTTTAATCCACCCACCTCATGGTTCTTTGTTACAGCAGCCCTAAGAAACTGACACAAAGGCCGTGACCTCACTGCGGCCTCCAAAACCCTTTGGGATATCATCCTTTCCACCTGGAATGGCAGCGTTCATTTCTTGGAAATCCTACAGGTGCCAGGCCCCATGGCTCTATCTCCCACCCAGATGACACTCCCCACCCGGGACACTTGGGAGCCCCAAATGCCTCAAGCCTCCAGCCCAGGCCGCTACCCACTCGGCCCCTCACCTGTGTGATGAAGAGTGCCTCCAGGTGGGCCTGGTACTCTGCCAGCAGCAGGGGGATGTAGTCGTACACCTGCTCACGCACGTTGTTGCCGGGCAGGATGAGGTTCAGCATAGGCTTCAGGGACTTGATGAGCCCCAGCTTCACCTACCACAGAAGCAGCGTCTCCAGACCCCTGGGCCCAGGACTCAGCAAGGCCCAGTGATGTCAGCCCCATCCACAAGACAGAGCTGACCTTGGAAGTAGAGTCCAGGCCTCCCCCAGGCCCCAGAGGTGGGCAGTGAACCCAGACTTTCCCCCAAGTCCTGGCTCTGTCACTTAGGTAACTGGGCAGACACTTGACCTCTCTATGCCTCACTTTCCTCAGCTGTAAAACAGTCCTATGGCACAGAGTTGGCATGGAAATCGCTCCCATAGGTAAACCGCTCAGAGAGCGCCTGGCAGGCATGTGAAAGGGACCCTCATCTAGCACCTCCAGGGACCTTTATCAAGCCGCCTTCTGACGCTCCGGGCCCACGTGGCTCCACCATTGATCAGTTCCTCATCTCCCTGGACCATGTGGTATCTCAGCCCCACCAGCACCGCAGGCTGGGGAGCCATGACCCAGGGACCATGTGGGCCCCCCACCCCCGAGCAGGGCAGTCTCACCTCGGGGTTGTTGTCCCTGAGCCACAAGGTCACAAAAGAGCGATACATGGGGAACAGCTTCACAGCAAACTGCTCCTCAGTCATCACGGGGTACACACTGTCCTCTAGGTGCCTCAGGTAAAACTGCACGTTCTCGCAGAAGGTCTCCATGGCTGTCCGTGGGGATGTGCAGTGAGCCCAGAGGGGCAGGAGGAAGGACAAAGGCTCCGCAGGCCACCTTCTCAGGAGGGAGCCCTCGTGCACTTCCATAACCAGCAGGTCACTGAGATGGCCAAGGACACTGCTAGAAAAATCTCCTGAGTCCCTCCCTCTCTGCCCTTCCAACTCCCTCAGAGCCCCCTAATGTTTACCCTGCATGTCTGTGTGTGAAAGACTCCCCGGAGCGGGTAGAGCGCGCAGGTGTGACTCGGCACCAGCCCTTGATGCTCATGTGCCGAGGTCAAAGCTGGGGCCTGGAATAAACCTCTTTTTACTCACATCCTGGGGATTCCACTGCAGAGGGTGGCAAACACATTTTGCCCTAATTTTCTCAGGTATTGGGGATTTGGGTCCACAGAAACATTAAGTTATCAAAACCTGGGGCAATGTGATCAGATGTAAATGGCATCAAAGACCTGCCCAAGTCAAGCCGAACCTGGAAACATGTCCCTGGTCACCCCCTCCTGTGAATCCCATCACCCTTCCATCTCTACCTGTTTACTCCACCTCCCCAGCCCCCAGCACCCCGACTGGGCCGGACCTGCGGGCCCAGGTGGGATACGTACCACTGCAGATCACCTGGTGCATCTCGGCTTCATCGGTGAGCCTCAGCATGGTGAATATGGTAGCCAGGGTGATGCCCATGTATGGCATGAACTCAAACATTGTGGGGCATGGGCAGAGGTCACGAGGCGTCAGGGCAGGAGAGTCAGCAGAGAGGACAGCCCCGCCAGCTGCACCTCCAGCCCCGGCGCAGAGCCAGGGAGCCGCTTTGTGCCGGCTGGGCCACAGGGGAGAGTGGGAGGCAGGGGAGGTAAGAAGAGATGGAAGCCGGTGAAGGGGGAAGGAAGTGGGAAAGAGAGGAGGAGGGGAGAGAGGTGGAGGAGGAGGAAGAGGAGAAGGAGGAGGAGGGAGAGGAGGGGGAGGAGGAGGGGGGAGGAGGGAGAGGAGGAGGGGGAAGGAGGGGGAGGAGGAGGGGGAGAAGGGAAGAAAGGAGGTAAAGAGGAAGTGGAGGAGGGGGAGGAGGAAGGGAAGGAGGAGGAGGGGAGGAGGAGGAGGGGAGGAGGAAAAGGGGGAGGAGGGGGAGGGGGAAGGGAGGAAGGGGAGGAGGGGGGGGGGGGGGGGGAGGAGGGGGAGGCAGGCAAGGGGGAGAGGAGGCAGAGTGTGGGCTCTTCCAGCCTCTGACCCCTCTGGGTGTCCCACAGACGTTCTGGGATGAAGAACCAGAGGCTGTGAGTGAGAAAGTGAAAAGGCAACAGGCATCAGGAGAAAGCAGAGAAAGAAGGGAAACTGCAATGGGAGGGGGAGAGAGAGAGAGGAGCGGCGACAGACCACACTCACCTCCAGCCCCGCTCCCACTAGCTCCCCTTTCAGATCCGTCACCCGCTGGACCCCCATTTCTGCCCCTCTCCTGGCTCTGGCATCAGCCCACACACAGGCCCCGCCCGCCCTGCCCCCAGAGCCCCTCCAGCCATGATCTCATTTCTTTCCCCTCCTGCCTTCACTGCCTCTGCCCCCATCCCTCGCCTGCCCCCCTCTCGACCAGCCTCCGTCCCCAGGAAGCCACCGCCTCCAGCCTCATCTTCCCAGGCGCCCCAGGAGGATGGGCCACGACTGGCCCCTGGGCCCTTCCTGAGTCCTTCTCCTTCTCGCAGGCTCCAGGACACCACACTGCCCTCAGCTTGCTCCTAGATCTTCCGGTTCAGTCCCCCCTGAGCCTCCTCGGGTCCGGGGTTCCTCAGGGCTAGGTGCTGGCCCTCTTCTCTCCTCCCTGTACTTTCACCCCCTCGGTGACAACAACTCTGGACACCACGTACACTCGAGGCCCCCTGCCCTCTGCACTCTGCTTCCCGCTTGATGACCTTGATGACCTCTCCACCTGGACATCTCTCAAGGGATGCAAACTCAATCCACGCAAAAGAAATTCATCTGAGCCCTAAGTTCTCTCTCCCCCAGTGCTTCCAGTCTCAGGAAATGAACACACTATACATGCAGCTGTTCAAACCTGAAACCCGAGTGTCATTCTTGGGTCCTCCTGTTCCTTTGTCTCTCACACACACTCCATCGGCAAGTCCGCCGACCAGAACCCCATCTACTACTCACGTCTGTCCACTTGCCGAATGAGTCCCAGCCTGAGCCACAGACACCTCACAGTTACACACCTCCCACCCCCTCTCCGTCCACACCACAGCAAGAATGGGCTTCCTGGGAGGCTTCCCAGGTGGCACAGTGGTTGAGAGTCTGCCTGCTGATGCAGGGGATGCGGGTTCGCGGCCCAGTCCGGGAAGATCCCACATGCCGCGGAGCGGCTGGACCCGTGAGCCATGGCCGCTGAGCCTGCGCATCCGGAGCCTGTGCTCCGCAACGGGAGAGGCCATAACAGTGAGAGGCCCGCGTACCGCAAAAAAAAAAAAAAAAGAATGGGCTTCCTGGAAGTTTCGGCAGGCAACTCTGCAGCTTAAGATCCCTCAGTAGCTTCCTGGTGCCTTTAAATAGAGTCCAGACTCTTCGCCACGCCTAACTCTCCAAGCTCATTTTACACCCATCACAGCCCTCTTTCTAGCTCCGGGCATAGTGACCTCTCAGTTCTTCAGAGAAACCAAGCTTTCTCCTGCCACAGGGCCTTTGCACATTCAGTGCAGGATGGCTCCCTCATCTACTTCTTCACACAGATAATCATCACCTGAGTCTTCTGGTCACAGTTGAAGCATCGCCACCTTAATGAGGGCCCCACAGAGATGAGGTCCTCTTGCCCTCATCCTGATCTCAAAAAGCCCCCTGGCTGTCCTCTTCATAACTGCCATCTCATATTATGATTATCTGTTTTCTTGTTTACTGGTTTACGGTGTCTTACTCACCTGTGGCCCAGCACCCACCCCAAGGCCTGCATGGAGCAAGCACTCAGCACATGTTCGTGGAATGGAAAGGGAGGGAGGGAAGGAGAAAGTGAGAGAACGGGGCCAGAGAGGGAGAGAGGAGAGAGAGATTTCGAAGAGAAGGGATGACAGGAATAAAGATACAGAAATGAGAGGCAGAAACACAGAGAGAGAATCTTGGCAGCTGAGAGGGACAGAGAGACACACAAAGATGAAAAGGAGGAATGCCAGAGAAAGGTAATAAGAGAGAGAAATGTAAGGGGGTGGGGGCAGAGACAAGGGCAGAGGCCCGGCAGGAACACGGGATGGTCTTAAAGGGGTCAGATACTGGGGCTGAGGCCCCACGGGCCCTACCATTGCCATTGGCCAGCTTCGCCAGGGTGACGATGACAAATTCTTCGGCGAGGTTGAGGGGTCTGAGGCAGTGCTGTAGCTCATACACGACCAAGCTGAAGTGGTTTCGGGACAGGGCCACCAAGGTGTCGCTGGCCACCTCTGCCCTCACGTAGCCCTCCACCTCCAGGGGACGGGAGAGGGATGTGTGGCGTCACCACCTGCTCCAGCCCTGTTGGGCTCCCCTGGGCTTGCTCAGCGTACTCCTGCCCCGGGAGGTAACTGGACAAGGGCCTCGGGCATCCCAGGCCGCACCTACCAAGGCCCAGCCCCTGGGTCGGTGGGCAGCCGGGCTCTACTACCTGCAGCATCTCCCTCATCTCCTTGGAGGCGATGGTGACCAGCCTCTGGACGCAGCACTCCTCCAGCTCCCCCTGCTGCTGGAGAACCTCCTGCAGGACGCTGTAGATGTTGACTTTGCCCTGAGTGAAAATCTGGGGAACGAGTATGGCGGGTGGGAAGGTCCTGGACGGGGCAGTGGAGGCTGCGAGGGACCCGGCCCTGCCGGAGCACACGAAGTCACACATCCTCCCTCCTACGGGTCCTCCTCCCAAACAGTGCGAGATTATGATTTATAATAAGAAATTTATATTTGGTCTTCATCCAGTTTCTGGCACAGAGCTCCTAAAACCTTTGGAATTTCCTAAGTGATGAGAGTGACAAAGGTGTCTTTTGTTATATTGAGGTGATTTTTGGTCCACACCTAAGGACGGGGACTGGTTGGCAGGAGAACCAGTCATCTGATTAGAGGATTGGAACTTTCATTCCCACCCACTTGACCTCCGGGGAGAAGAGAGAGGCTTTGGAAGTGGAATCGATCGCCAATGGCCAGTGATTTCATCAACCATGCCTAGATAATGAAGCCTCCATAAAAACCCAAAAGGACAAGGTTCGGAGAGATTCTAGACTGGTGAACAAACAGAGATTTGGCAGGAGTGGCATGCCCAGAGAGGCCCTGGAAACTTCGCGCCCTTTCCCAAACCCTCACCCTATATGTCTCTTCCTTCTGGTTGGTCCTGAGTTATATCCTGTTAAAATAAACTAGTATCTAGTAGGTAAAATGTTTCTGTGAGTTCTGTGAGCCACTCTCATAAATTAATTGAACCCAAGGAGGAGGTCATGGGAACCTCCAAACCATAGCCAGTTGGCCAAACTTACGATTGGCATCTGAAGCAGGGGTGGGGGTGGGGTCGTCTTATGGGACTGAGCCCTTAACCTCTGGGATCTGACACTATCTCCAGGTAGACAGTGTCAGAATTGAGTTAAATTGTAGCACACCTAGCTGGTGTCAGAGAATTATTTGGTGGCGGGGGGAACACCCACACGTTGGATTTGGATGCAGAATTATCATTGCCTCATCTGGTCGATGACCCCACCATCCTGAAACTGCCTAAGACTCTGACCCCGATTCCGCCATCTCTCACGCCACCCGCTCCCTTCCTCCCATCAGGCTCATCCAACTGGCCCTGTCAGTGTGGCCTGCAAATCTGTCCTCTCTCCACTGTTTTCAGCCCAGCATACTCAGCTAGGCAGGTGTCAAATGGTCAGCACACAGGGTGCTCCACAGATTTGGCACTGACCCTCTTGCAAGTCCAAGAGGACATCATCTATTTTGCTTCTTAGATAGCTCTTGTCACAAGGGTGGACTCCTCTCCATGGGGGCTGTTACCTGCAAAACGCTCTGGGAAGATGGCCCCCTCCCCTGGCTGGTAAGGAGGTCACTTACCAACAGTCAAGACCTTAGCAAATTTGGGGACCTCAAGAGGAAAGGAAGTCAATGAAATTTATACGTTCTATGAATGACATCCAGTACAGAGAGTCTTGGCCTTTCTTTCCCAGTCTCGATATAGCAAGTAATAGAGGCTTGTAAACCCCAGTGAGAGATTCCTCATGAAAACTCCTGGACCGAAGAGAACCGTGTGGCCTTCGCTGCCTAGTCCGATGGCCCTTGTTTTCTCAACCTCTTCATTTTTTTTCTTTTTTATTGTCCCCTAAGGAGCCTTCTTAAGTGTTTTTTCCTAATTGCCCCCACCATGAAAATGTAATACCACAAAGATATAATATAGCTGAGTATACATATCTGTGCTTTGTACATCAAAAACTAAAAACACGCCAACCCCCACCCCCACTGCCGCAAGAACCAATTTTACCTGCTTTGGAGCAGTATCACCCCGTTGAGAATTCACGCTCTAGATTTTCAAGGCAAACTCAAGGAAGCCTAGATGCGTAGCTAACACTGTTGCTGCAGATATGTAAACAGCCAGGCAAATTATAATACGCCCAGCCTAATTTCTGCGATCGAAATTAATCTTTGGAAAATATTTACGGGCGCAAGAGAAAAACTGTCAAAGACTTGGAAACTGGCATAAAACAGGCATGGGTGGCTTCCCAGAGGCGGGCTTGGTGCTGTCTGGCTGCCCCTGCAGGATCATCCGGCCTGTGGGAGTGTGTGCCTTTGATCGCCTGTGATAGTCTAGGCTATGCTACGTCTCCACGGAGATAGAAGGTAAGTTTTAGGAAACTGACGCTGAAAATGATTCCTGTTCGTGACAACAGGAACTTTGTTTGGTAAAGAATGTAAATCTCTATAAGTAAAATTGTCATTTTAACAGATTTTAACTCTTACTGGTTCCTTCACTAGTTAAAGAATAACTAAAATCTTGAACACAGGTCAAGTTACAAAATATGCCTACTTGTTTATCATCTGTTTATTGCCACTGATCATTTATCGTGGCCTGGGTATTAACCGTGGTTTTTAAATTTTTCTATATTTCCTGATGCTTTGACTTCTTGCGGCCTTGTGGGCCCTGGAGAGACTGCCCAGGGTTAGTCAATTCCTAGAGATGGCAAACAACTCACCCACTCACGAGCAAGCTTGTCAAATACAAGCAAGCAATCCAGGCTCCACGTACCAGCCACCACCTCTTCTATCAGGCTCTCACGCTCTGGACCACTATACACCTGCTCTAATCACCCCAGGGCCAGGCACCAGACGACTCAGGGCGGCCCCTACACCCCAGACCTCACTGAAATTATCCACACTAGCCAATCCGACGTCTGCTCACCCTGCCTCGCCGGATCTTCCCCTACAGAAGCCACAATAAACGCTCCTGCGTACATTTCCCCCTTGCTCCCTCTGCCTCCCGCCCGACTCTGGTTCTTCCTTGTGGGCCTGCATGGCATGGCGTGCCCCTGCCTCTTGGGATCTGTGAGTAACAGACCATCTTTTCAAGAGCAATCATCTCCTGGGCTGTTGGTCTCACTATACCTGAATAATAATAAAACCTATGTTTTAAAAGACTTTTGCAAATTCTTTGCCTATGCTCCTGGACCCCGACTTCCCTCAAGGCTGCCACGTAGCTTCTTTCTATAAAATAAAACTTGCTATTAAGAATTCCTATAAGGACCTGCTCTTCTATCCACTCTCAAAAGCTCAAGAATAGTCTAAAATTCAACAGCTCTCCAAGTGTGGTCCCCAGACCAGCAGCAGCGTCACCTGGGACCTTGCTAGAAATGCTGATTCTTGGGCTTCACCCCATACCTACTGAATCAGAAACTCTCATGATGGGCCCCAGAAATCTGAAGTTTTAACAAGTCCTCAGGGGATACTGATGCTCTGGTCCAAACTCTACCCTGTCGTACAAAGCCCACCATGATCTCGGTTACATTTTCCATCACTCCCATCAGTATCTCTACCCCAGCCTCTGCCCCAGTAAACAGCCTCCACTGGCCAAGCACCCCTGCACCTTGCATCTGGTGTGTCTCTGTTCCCCCACATCCACCTGCTTCACCCCTGCTCAACATCTTTGCAACTCAGCTCACCTGCTCTAGAACGGTGACTCCCAAACCCACTGCGTCAGAATACCGAGGAGCTTTGAAAACCTGTGAGTGGCCCAGGCCCCATTTGGGCCTCCAGGGCTGAGACCCTCATAGTCTGGTCATTGTCTGTACCCCAGAACCTAGCCTACATCCACAACAATCAGTGAATGTGTGCTGAGCAGGGGACGGACACGCAAACAGGTGGCCAGGCTCAGAGGAACGGCTGAGGGAGAGGAGGTCCTACCTCTGGTACCTGCAGGCAGCGGATGAGAGCGTCCATCACCACAGAGGGCTCAGTGGCGGCCCTCTCCCTGATGATCACTGAGGCCAGCATCTTCCGCATGTCAGGACCTGCCCCAGCAGCGTCCGTTTTGGTTGACTCGCTGTCCATGATGTTGAGGAGGTTTGTGACTTGTTGGAAGGTACGTGAGACAAAGGTGGCACAGGTGTGATGCCGAGATGACCATTACAGGGCTTGTTCCTTGTGCTCTGGTCTCCCTGATACCTGCACAGCTCTAGCTCTGCCTGGGGCATGATTGGGCAGGGACCTTCCTATCCACTGTACAGATGGAGAAACTGAGATCTTGACCAAGACTTGCCCTCCAGGAGTTAGTGGCCGAAATGAGGCAGGAGTGCAGGGAGGGGGTGACTTTCTTACCACTGTCGTCTGGTTCCAGAGGTTCCAGGTCCTCTGTCTCCTCTGACACGTCCTCATTTGACTCTGTTGATGCTTCTGCCAATCTCTTCCTCAAGCTATTTTGAGATAATAAGATTTGTAAAATACTTGGTGTGTCATCCAACCATAAGACGACCCCCCATGAGTCACACCCTGCATAACCCCCTTCCCTAGAGTGTGGGAGGAACCCATGACTTGGTTAGACCCATATTCTAGCCAATAGAATATGGCAAAAGCAATGGGAACCTCCCATGATGCGATCACTGCCATGATTACATTATGTCATATAAGACTACATCTTAGCAGACTGGAGAGAGATTCTCATGCTGGCCTTGAAAAGTAAACAGTGGTGATATAAGCTGCCTATGGAGGGGGCCAGGTCACAAGGAACTGAGGGCCTCAGTCCTACAACTACAAGGAACTGGATTCTGCCAACAGCCACATGAGCTTGGAAGAGGACCAAGCTCCAGAAAGGACGCAGCCCAGACATCTTGAGTGCAGCCTGTGAAACCCTAAATAAATGACCCCGCTAAGCCAAGCCTAGACTCCTGACCACGCAAACTGTGGCATAATAAACAGGTGTTATTTTAAGCCACTACCTTTAGGTAATTTGTCACACAGTGATCGACAGCTACACTTGGTTAGGAAGGGCC